CCTTCCTTCCTTCCTTCCTTCCTTCCTTCCTTCCAACATTTTAGGAGGAGGAGGGGAGCTCTTACAATGACCTTGTATTTTGGCTCCTTCTTAGCCAACGTCTGCAGAAATCAATGGGGATTAAGCTGCTGCAGTCAGCGAACGGAGTCCTTAGAACGGCTTGTGATCGGTGGCTTGGCTGTGAGTCAGGCAGCTTCCACCAAAGGACTCAGTCACCAGCAAAGCGGATTAATTAATGTTTCCTTCTTAATCATTTTACTTTTCTGCATGGCTCTAATCTCGAGTTCCTTGGGACCAACCGGTCCCCCTAATTCCTGTAGCACTGAGCTTTACAAGGAGCAGAAACAGCTTGTGCTAAGCTGCTTGACACCACAGCCTGGTGGTGCAAACCCCACAGGAGGCAATTGGGGATGTGAGGCAATCTCTTGCCCCTGTGTAACACAATGCAGGCTGCACCAGGGCTCACATCCTCCTTCTCCTATCTCCAGGGCTCTGCTGCTTATGAGGTTATAATGTGTTGCTGGAGCCAAGTCGCCATCTGGACTCTATCCTTGGAGAGTGGAAAGTGCTCTTTGTCAGCACCTGGCCCCTGGGATCCCTTGTGTGCAGCAGCTGGAATGGTAATTAGCCATATGATTAAAAACAACAACACAGAGATAGACACACAATGTCCCTCTTGCACATGCATGGTCGAGGAATGAAGGAAAAGTGTGGCAAATGTAGAATTTGGAAATATTATTCGGGGAAATTACAACTTGAGCCACCTTAGGGCTCTTTTTGGGAGGAAGGCGGCATAAAAATGAAATAAATAAATAAATAAATAAATAATCTCCCAGAATCCCCATGCTGGCAAGAGGGATTCTGGGAGTTGTAGTCTCCAAAACTAGGATTTCCGAGCTTTGAGTACATTCAAATTTGCAAGAGCAGCCATGCCAATTGTACCACTACTAGATCATAGCCACGTCCAAATGGGCTGCCCTATACCGAGAGCAAACCTCTACTTGAATGCAATTGGGGGACATGGTGTAACGCTGGTAAAATTGGCATGGCTGCCCTTGCAAATTTGGGGTCGTCGCTTTCAAGTCCAGATTGAAAGATTTAAAAAAAATCTCACAAGATAGAGCAGGAGCGCTTGAATTTACTCACCCACATTTAACATCTAGACAGGAGATACACAGGTCACCTGGAGTGTGTCTATACTGTGCATTTATAACAGTTGATATCACTTTGCCATGGCTCCACCTAACAGAATCCTGGGATTTGTAGTTTGGGTGATAGAATTCTGCACTTGACAAAACTATAAACCTAAGGATTCCTCAGGACAGATAAAATGGCATGGGTCCAGAGGAAAGAAGCAGAATCTTCCATAAAC